GGATAAGTACAGCTGGATATCTGCAGAGCAATTAAATTGAATGCAGTTTTTTCTAATAATTTTAAAAAGTATTGGTCCCAGCATTTAACCTTGAGGAACTCCGTGACTAACTTGTGTGTGAAGAAGAGTCCCATCTAAAAATTAGTAGATTTACATCTACAAATTTGCATACAGGGAGTGCAGAATTATTAGGCAAGTTGTATTTTTGAGGAATAATTTTATTATTGAACAACAACCATGTTCTCAATGAACCCAAAAAACTCATTAATATCAAAGCTGAATGTTTTTGGAAGTAGTTTTTAGTTTGTTTTTAGTTTTAGCTATTTTAGGGGGATATCTGTGTGTGCAGGTGACTATTATTGTGCATAATTATTAGGCAACTTAACATAAAACAAATATATACCCATTTCAATTATTTATTTTTACCAGTGAAACCAATATAACATCTCCACATTCACAAATATACATTTCTGACATTCAAAAACAAAACAAAAACAAATCAGCGACCAATATAGTCACCTTTCTTTGCAAGGACACTCAAATGCCTGCCATCCATGGATTCTGTCAGTGTTTTGATCTCTTCATCATCAACATTGCGTGCAGCAGCAACCACAGCCTCCCAGACACTGTTCAGAGAGGTGTACTGTTTTCCCTCCTTGTAAATCTCACATTTGATGATGGACCACAGGTTCTCAATGGGGTTCAGATCAGGTGAACAAGGAGGCCATGTCATTAGTTTTTCTTCTTTTATACCCTTTCTTGCCAGCCACGCTGTGGAGTACTTGGACGCGTGTGATGGAGCATTGTCCTGCATGAAAATCATGTTTTCTTGAAGGATGCAGACTTCTTCCTGTACCACTGCTTGAAGAAGGTGTCTTCCAGAAACTGGCAGTAGGACTGGGAGTTGAGCTTGACTCCATCCTCAACCCGAAAAGTCCCCACAAGCTCATCTTTGATGATACCAGCCCAAACCAGTACTCCACCTCCACCTTCCTGGCGTCTGAGTCGGACTGGAGCTCTCTGCCCTTTACCAATCCAGCCACGGGCCCATCCATCTGGCCCATCAAGACTCACTCTCATTTCATCAGTCCATAAAACCTTAGAAAAACCAGTCTTGAGATATTTCTTGGCCCAGTCTTGACGTTTAAGCTTGTGTGTCTTGTTCAGTGGTGGTCGTCTTTCAGCCTTTCTTACCTTGGCCATGTCTCTGAGTATTGCACACCTTGTGCTTTTGGGCACTCCAGTGATGTTGCAGCTCTGAAATATGGCCAAACTGGTGGCAAGTGGCATCTTGGCAGCTGCACGCTTGACTTTTCTCAGTTCATGGGCAGTTATTTTGCGCCTTGGTTTTTCCACACGCTTCTTTCGACCCTGTTGACTATTTTGAATGAAACGCTTGATTGTTCGATGATCACGCTTCAGAAGCTTTGCAATTTTGAGACTGCTGCATCCCTCTGCAAGATATCTCACTATTTTTGACTTTTCTGAGCCTGTCAAGTCCTTCTTTTGACCCATTTTGCCAAAGGAAAGGAAGTTGCCTAATAATTATGCACACCTGATATAGGGTGTTGATGTCATTAGACCACACCCCTTCTCATTCCAGAGATGCACATCACCTAATATGCTTAATTGGTAGTAGGCTTTCGAGCCTATACAGCTTGGAGTAAGACAACATGCATGAAGAGGATGATGTGGACAAAATACTCATTTGCCTAATAATTCTGCACTCCCTGTATAAAGATATGCGATGCAGTTCTTTTGCTACCATTAGTGTATTTTAATCACTGTAGTAAAATACTGTGGTCAGCCGTGTTAGATGAGCACAGACACCAGTCCAATTTCAAGATCATTTGACTTTCAGTGGTGCTATTTCTGTGCTATACACTCTAAATCCTGACTGAATCTCCTCAGACTAACCATTCCTTTGCAGATGATCAGCTAACTGTTTGAATACCACTATTTCAATAACTTTTAAAAATAACAGCAAGTTTAGAAATCCGTCTATAATTAAGGATCGATTAAGGACTTTTTAAAATAATGGTTTAATTACCACCACCTTAAAAGTTTGTGGTACATAGCCTGATATTAAAGACAAATGAATTAAATTTAAATTCGATGGATGGATAAAATTGAAGCATTAATGGTGAAACGTCTTTGAGCAGTCTTGTATACGGCTGGGTATTGTCACTGATTTCTAGAATCGATTTGATTCAATTCCGATTCACGATCCACGATTTGATTCAATTCGATTTAAATCTGGGAAATTTTGCCTCAGAGAGCCAGAAATATTATAATTCAGATCAGTACATTTACATATTTTTGTATCTATAAAAAGGAAGCTGACACTTGCAAGACTTTATCAAAGGTGTAAGCATCACAGCAGATGCCTTTGTGTCAAAGTAGCTGAAGAGAAAACACAGAAAAACATGAAGGTGATTTTCCTGGCCTGGGATTTTATAAAATATATTCTGCAGTACATCAAAAATGAAAGAAAACCATTAATCAACATATGAACATTACCTCTGAAGTTACAGCGGTTTTATTAGCGCATTATGCATTTTGCATAATTTTAAAAAGTTTACATTTGTTCAGAAGCCTATTGAACAGCAGAAATGAGGCTTTCTTTTCGGAAGCAAGTAAAAGGAAAAAAAACAGCAGCCGACAGCGCTGTAAACAACGGCAGACTTGTGCGTAACAAGCAAGCGAATAATGCAGAAAACAGATTTTTAGACGGGAAACTGTTCTTGAAGTATACTGAGAAAGAGAGAGAGAGCTGTGCATGAAGTGTGGTGGAAGCAAAACAGCAAAAGTCAGAGGGAATTCATGATGATGTTTTTGTGAAGCATAGTTTGGATCTTTTTTGCTGCTGGTTCGGTCAATATTGTTTGGAGAGAGATGAAACTAACAGCTTTAGAATCAGCGCAAAAAAGGCATAAACACAAAGTGCGGATCAGTTATACTAAAGTGAAATATCAATTATAGCAGACAGCAGCATGTGCAACATTAAGATTATAGTAGGTCTCTAGCAGTGTTGGGTAAGTTACTTTAAATTAGTAACTTAGTTACATTACTAGTTACTTCTATCAAAAGTAACTCAGTTACTTCAAGTTACTCGTTACTTTCAGAGTAACTAGTTACTAGGGAAAGTAACTTTGGTTTTACTCAGAATTCTCTTGTTAATGTGTTGCTTCCGTAACTGGATACCCAGCAAGATTGCCAGTCTTCTAGCTTGCTTACTTGCCACAAGTGCACTGTGCCACCTACCAATAGAAAGGAAAAAATAATGTGCACATTTCCACGAGAGAAATCCCACGCCTGATTCTATCCTAGCCTGCTTTTTACATCCAACACAAAAACTGCAGTCGTGGTGCTTTCGATTGTACTCAGAACTCGGAAATTCTGCCTTCTGAATAGGAAGATGTAGGTAACACCAGACTGCAGATGAGCTGCATACAGAGCTGGACTGGGACAAAAAAAATCGTCCCGGGCATTTTGACCATTATAGGAAAAATCATAAAACCTTTGAATGAAAATAAACGCTGTTGTGACAGTGATGTACACTGTTCTGATGGGATATATGTATCAATCTATCAATTGTTTGTTGCAAGACTCAGATAATTATTTTTTTAAAAGTGAGACATTTTAAATGAGAATAAGAAAGTATTTCTTTGTGCCCCCCTTTCCCTTTTAATGCCCTACATGGACCCTTGGCAACACTTTGCTAGACCCGCCCCTGCACCAGCTGTCAGCTACTTAGAAAAGGATCCTGGTGTTATTTGTCTCTCAGAAACAGTTCATAACTTCCCTTCAACTCATTCATGTCACCTAAAAGGTAAACCTGTTTCTCCATCACAGCTCTGATGATTCAGTAAGGACATCTCCTGGTTTCATCTTCATGTTTCCCTCTCATCACATAACCAAACCATATCATGACCAGCAGGTTTACAGCTGTGGCTCCAGCCAACATCAGCTGATACTAGAAATTAATATTAAATAAATTCTAACAGCAGCTGATCAAGCTTAAACGTGCTGCTGTTGTTTACCGCGACATCCGCTGGTTTCCTCTTTCTGGCGCAAAGTGGGCGATAAATAAACAAGAGAGAAAAGCCGATCAGCTGATCATTGATCAGTTTCATGATTGAAGTAGAAACAGGAGAGGGAGGGTGAGAGGATGAGAGAAGAGGCAGCTGTGCAGCGTAAACACAGAATAACTCCAGCTTTGTGTCTTTTTCATTGTAGCTGAAACACAAACTGTGTTCCTTTTCACCTCAATACGAAACGCATGATATTTTCTCTGAATACGAGACGATTCCGTTTTTTACGGGACGGTTGGCAACTCTAATAATTAACCTTATGAACAAAATAAAGTTCAACATCAGTAACATAGCACCACCCAGCTGTATAGAAACTCCGTCATGCTAGCTAGCACGCAGTACGAAAAAGTCAGCATAACGAAAATAAACTCCACCTAAACTTGGTTCATATCTGACCCAGATGGACTGCAGGTTATAACTTCTTACCTGAAGTTCAGTTCACCTGACACTCTCGGACCAGCGGCCGCTTCGGGTCTCTCCTCTTGCCTCCCTTTTCCTTCGTCCACCTGCTGTCTTCCACCACTTGCTAATGTTATTGAATCTGTGGAAGCTCCGCGATAGCCACCACACGAAGTAACGAATAACGAGCCTCTCTAAATCCCAGTAACGAGTAACGCGTTCCCGGCTTTGGCATAATAACTAGTTACCGTGCTCGTTACCACAATAATAACGTAGTTACTGTAACGCGTTACTTAATAACGCGTTAGTCCCAACACTGGTCTCTAGTATATTTATGTATTTCTAATATATGTCCACCTTTATACGTGTATTATTTCTAACACTATATTTACTTAATGGTACAAACACAACCAGATTTGGGGAACGAATAAAAGCTCCGACCAAATGTCACAGACGGTCGTCTAGCACCGACCTTCTCCTGCCTGGGCCTTGCATGTTTTTACTCACATTGATCAGCTTTAGAAGGTGAGGTATGGTTTAGTCTCTCCAGCGAGTCACTGCTGCCTTCATCCAGGATGTAATCAAAGTTCAGGATGAACATCATGACCACACCCTCCTCGTTCTTCACAGGGATGATATGGGTGGCACAGAGGAAGTTTGAACCTAAGCAAAAGGAAATCACAGTTAGAAAGAGTTTTCTATTTGATTGACTTAACATGTGAGCCAGTGGCAGATACAGAATCTCGAAATTATGAGGCCCAATCAATCTTTGTAATTTTTCAGTCTGAAGCAAAATGGAAAACCTGATTTAAACCCGACATAGCAGGTTTCTAGACATTTTGACCCTGGAGTTTTCCATTAACACCCTTTGACATTCAAGCATCTTATTCCAGATAACGTTGCTCACACAGGCAGGTCTGGCAGAAAAATGAGGGTGAAAAGGTCAACAAGGCCTTTGAGAGGAAACCCACTGGAGCTCAATGATTTTATACATACAGACATGCGGCAAGTGTCCTTCACAGTTCAGTACAGTTGAAACATTGCAAACAGCTTACATCAAACCTAACATTAGCAGATTATTTAAATAATGTATCCCCTTGAATAATTAATAATTTCTTCTTCATGTAACAACCATGAATACTTTCACAGCAGTTCTCATGGAAGGAAAAAAAATGAGGCCCAATTACTAGAGTTGGCAATGGCTTCACAGTGGGAGGTAATTTAATACAACCCTGCTAGCTGCTAATGCCTCACATCTAAATGTTCCTAATTGATCAAATAGGAAAGAGGTGAACAAAAATAAAGCAGATATAGGAGACAAAATTGTAGACCATTCCTACCAGCTGACTTGTCCTAGCTTCAGAAAAAACCCTCAAATAAACAGAAAATATGATTGTTACATTTTTATTTTTAGGTTTGATTCCGTCTTTAATCCTACTCTAGGCTTAAATAGTAATTGAAGTATTGCCAACATTAGTAAAGCTGTAGTACAGGAGCAATGAACAAAAATGAGATGCATGTTTATGTTTTAACTAATAAACATAGACATTGTTGGAAGATGCTCTCTCACACACTAGACTTGAAATCCTGGTATCACTATTAGGCTATTTATAGCTCACCCAGCAGGCACCCAGCCCAGCTTCTGGGGGAGCATAGATGCACTGCTGCTCAAACACCCTAAACTGCGATTCTTACTCTGCCTACAAAAGAATTGTGGATTACCACTCACTTTCTTATATCAGGTTCTCAAATGCTACTGTGCAGCTTTGTAAACCAAAGTAGTTCACAAGGCCTGGTTTTGATTTATGTTTTAGGAAGTCCAGATTTTGCAGGGATAAGCAATATCCAGGGCCTAACAGTATATCAGTGTCACCATGGGTGGGTTGAACTATTCACTTAAATCTGGGACGGGGGGGGGGGGGGGGGGGGACTACCGTGCCTCCTGTGACTACAGTGTCAACACTGTAGCACTGTAGCTTACAGATAATACAGAACATAAAGTCACAGCAGATGGTTGCCTCTTCTTCACCCTAGTTCTGCCTACTCACTCACAGGGAATGACCAGATTGCTAGTGTTCCCTCTCCAGTTCCGTACCTTTACCTTAAAATGACTCTTGGTGTAAACCGGCACTATATACACACATATGGTAAATGGTAAATGGCCTGCATTTGTATAGCGCTTTTCTAGTCCATAGGACCCCAAAGCGCTTTACACTACATTCAGTCATCCACCCATTCACACACACATTCACACACTGGCGATAGCAAGCTACATTGTAGCCACAGCTGCCCTGGGGCGCACTGACAGAGGCGAGGCTGCCGGACACAGGCGCCACCGGGCCCTCTGACCACCACCAGTAGGCAAACACGGGGTTAGTATCTTGCCCAAGGATATTTGGCATGCAGCCAGGATGCAGCCTGGGATCGAAACACCGACCTTCTGATTAGTGGCTGACCTGCTCTGCCACCTGAGCTACAGCCACCCCATATACACACTACACTATGAACACAGCATTGACTACAGAGTGAGTATTAAGAGAACAGCATTCTGATATAGCAACTATGACTTGAGGTAAAAAAAAAGAAGCTTGTTTTGAATCACAACTGAAGCAAGCACTTTGGCGACAGTGGGAAGGAAAAACTCCCTTTTAATAGGAAGAAGCCTCCACCAGAACCAGGCTCAGGGAGGGGCGGCCATCTGCTGCGACCGGTTGGGGTGACAGGAAGAAGACAAGATAATCCACATAGTTTAGTTTGCATTCAACATACTTTTTAAAAGCAATTTGAATCAGACTTGACTGTCAATTTTATTCACACGCTCCCCATACACTTATGAAATAACTACCCAGAAGATGGTAAATGGCCTGTATTTGTATAGCACTTTACTTAGTTCCTAAGGACCCCAAAGCGCTTTACACTGCATTCAGTCATCCACCCATTCACACACTGGTGATGGCAAGCTACATTGTAGCCACAGCTGCCCTGGGGCGCACTGGCAGAGGCCAGGCTGTGGGACACTGGCGCCACCGGGCCCTCTGACCACTACCAGTAGGCAACGGGTGAAGTGTCTTGCCCAAGGACACAACAACTGAGACTGTCGGAGCCAGGGCTCGAACTGGCAACCTTCCAATTACAAGACAAACTGCCAACTCTTGAGCCACGATCGCCCCAGAAGAGTTACGAATATGGCTGCCAAGTGGTAAGTCATGCTTCTAGAAGGACTTTGACGTTAGCTAGAGGGATTAAATCCTGACCTACACAAATATACACACATTATTAGTGGAATATTTTGGATATGAAAAGAGTGCATCCAGATATTATTGTGTACTTACCTCATACTGACAGATTCAGTTATTTACCCCAACTTAAAATATGAACTTCAATCAATGACTTTGATTTTAGCTTTCATCTCAGCTTTGTCATTATAAAAATACAAATGCATCTGTTGTTTTTATCTCTTTAAGCACAAGGAGTAGCACTGACAGTGATAAGCATCCTATAATTTGACTCACTTTGTTTGCAAATTAAAATCTTCTCCGTCTGTCTCCATGGAAACAACTGAGCGCTCCAAAGAAAGTTAAACTCACTGCACCATTCTGTCATCAGTACAAAGTGACTTCAAGATGTTTTTCAAATGATTATCTTTATTCATCTGCCAATATACAGGGTGTTGAAAGAAATTTCCCTTTTATGGCAACAAACAAATGGAATAAATCATTTAGATGGGCATTTAACAGTGTTTCCACTGAAAACACAAACACCACCCAGCCACCTATCATTACATTTTTTCAGTTGTAGTGTTGAAGAAGTGTCTGAAGTTGTACAAATGCACATTTGCATAGACTAACCAAACATGCAAAACAAATCACATGCATGCACACAGATGCCCTCACATGTGCAGAACCATACAGTGCTGTGCAGAAGTCTCAAAGCATTCTATCCATCAACGAACAAAATCCAATAAAACTTGCTAAATATTATGTGATGTAATGGTAAATGGCCTGCATCTTCAAACACAAGGCGAACAAAGAGCCCCACACTAAACACACCATGCAGAGATTATATCAAGAGACAAAAGACAGTGAGCCAGTCTAAAATCCAGAGACCTGTGGCACATTTTCCAAGCTTGAATAACTGCACCTGTACCCAGGAGAACTGGAGATGCTCACATCAAATATAGATAGTTATGATTTCATTTTTATGTGATTAGTTGACTATACTATATTATTTTTTAACATACAGTACTTTCCAGTACTTGTAGTAAATTCGTTCACAGTACAGTACAGAGCAGTCTATAAAAGTAGTGCTTGCAGGGACAAAACCCCAGCCTTGAAATGCAATCTATGTGTGTACGTGTATGAGTGACTCTAAAAATAGGCTGCTTGGAATCCATAGGCATTTATAATTCATAAGTGTCAAGTATTATATTCTAGAAAACATAATGGTGACTTGGTGACAATGGCTTTTTTAGGCAACATAAGAATGAGAATGGGTTTAAAGCTGTGTGTATGAAGAAGAATAGAAGAAGAAGAAAGTGATGGGAATTTTATAAAAACTTAAAGTTTGTTAAAAAAAATCTATATTTTGTTTATTGTAATAATTTTTCATGTGATCTCATGTCATATACTTAGCAATGGCTCAATTCAAATACAGTTGAATATGAAAAAGACAATGGAGTAGAGAAGTGCTTATAGTTTCTAAGCCATACAGGGGCACAAGGACATTGTGATCTTTTCAAGGTTCAAGGTTCTTTACTTGTCACATGCATAGTTATACAAGTATAACACACAGTGAAATGTAGCCTGACACGCTCCTCGACATGTGCAAAAATTGGGGGGGGGGGGGGGGGGGGGGTGTAGAGGAAGAACATTATATATATATATATATACATACCTATAGTATATACACTGGGTGAATGTGCAGTAGTAGCAGCAAGCAGGTGAATTCTGTACATTAATATGACTAGACATCTGACTTTTTGTCATTACTTCAGTTGACGCATGTGTTACTTGGAGCGGAGTGACCAGTTTTAATATGGGTTTAGTATTAGTTTTAAACCTGCATAAAAATAATAATTCTACATGAACTTCTTTTCCCTCTATCTCTTCTGGTCATTACTCCTTTACTCCTTCATGTCTCTTAAATCCAGACTCCTTTTTTTTCTGTTGGTTTATTCCCCTTAGTCTTTATTTGCCTGCTCTCGTTCTCTGCTCCTGTCTCTGCATGTCTTTCTTCCTGAGAAGAAAGAGAGCTGCCCAGGTTCTCTGCAGGAAGGCCACCTGACGCGTTATAAACGGACAGATCAGAAAGATTCCCGACACTGCTGCTGATGCAAATTTCTGCCCATCTGCCTGTGTATCCTGCCTCAGAGGAGTGTGACAGGCAAACACAGATACACATACATGCATGCACACACTCACACAAACAGAAATAACATTTACATTTCTTGCGTGCACACTGGCAGTGAGACAGCCAAGCATGCGCACAAAAACGCTAATGAGGTCCACAGATCTCGGCTCAGCACACTCTGAAACAGCCACAGACAGACACTGGCTCACACACATAAACACACACAGTCACTCACACACAGCCTGCCGGCAGCATTAATTAGCAGAATGTTCTCTGTCCAACTAAATCTAATACGCAGGCAATGGAGCTGCTTT